TGATATATATATATATATATATATATATATATATATATATATATCATGTATACACAATGGACTTTTATTCAGTCATAATGAAAACTAAAATCATGAAAGTGGATGGGATGAGACCTGATAGGCTAGGGTCAGATGGAAGGGGAGAAGTACCTCCCCTATCAGCGGACTTGGGAAGGGGCATGGGAGGAGAGGAGGGAGGGAGTGTGGGATTGGGAGGGGACAAGGGAAGGGGCTACAGCTGGGATACAAAGTAAATAAAATGTAATATAAAAATATAAAAAAATTACATTTAAAAAAGAGAAGTGGATGGTACTTGAGATTATAATAAATGCAGACCTTAACTTCAAGGTTATATATACATATATAGATTATATATACATATATATAATCTATCAATTTTTTTCTATGTACCCCATACACCTACCTATTTATCTGAGTGTGGATAGAAGCCAGAGAACTAGAAAGGGACCCATAAAGCAGGGGGGAAAGGAGGCATTAAGGGAAGGAGGTGGAGAGAATATAACAGGTATAATGAAAGAAGAAAGGGGAATACTGGGAATGGAAGGGTGCAGACTAGGATGGAGAAGAGGCCGGGAGGGAAAGAAGTATGAAGGAAAGGGGAGTCAACCAAAGTCAAGTAGATACGAAAATGCCCTAAGAAAAAATTTCATGGCTAGTTAAACGTTTTAATTTAATTGAAGAACAAACAAACAGAAGAGATGCTGCTTAGACACATCAGAAGACCCCAGATCAAAGATTTGTGTAGGCCATGGTTTGCAGCTTGGATTTTTAGTCTAGATACTAAGCACAATACAAATTATTAAGGAATTTTGAGTAAGGAAGTGTCACTTTTGCAGCTGGTGAAGAGACAGGAGAGGAATAAAATAGTGGCTTGGAAAAAAAAAAAGAAAAAAGAATGATTTGAGGCAGTAAAAATTGGCAAGTAAAAACACCTGGTGCGCAAGTCCGGCGGACTCCCCCAGAGACCTTCATCAAAAGCTCCGGTGGCCTGCATCTGCAATCCCAGCACTCTGTCCTGGAAATGAAAGGCAGACACCGGGAGTCACCGCGAAGCTCCCTCACGGGCCAGCTAGCCCGGAGGACTCAGAGCAACTTCTGACTCCCACTTCTGTCCCCCTACAGGAACACCAGGACGGACGGAAAACTGAACGGCGCGCGCAACGTAATGAGAAGTCACGTTCGCGACAAACAAGTCACCTTCCGCACGGCCTACCACACAGCGTGAGAGACCCGGGCCGGAGCTCCGCACTGCCGGGCCACCCCGGACTCCCTGACCGCCACTTACCTCCCTCCCCAACAGCTATCCTCGCGCAGTTCCCCGGAGCGTCCCCCCGGCAGTCTGCTGCCATGGTTACCGCGCCGAGAACGGAGGCGGCGCGGGAGCGGAGGGACCACCGGAACCGGCCGCCTCCACCGGAACCGGCGCTCCCGCGGCCACGTGACGGCGCTGGGCGTGGCCACGCCGGTTTGTTTTGCTCTTTGGATGCTCCGAGGCGCCGAGCACGTGGGCCGGGCAGGGGTGCCTCTGTCTTCAACCCTTTAGCTTCCTTCTTGGATTCTCCTCTTTCTCTAGTGGGACTCGGGGTTTTAGGAGACCCCGGGCTGGCGGGCCTGCTCCTCCACCTTGCTGGTCTCTTTAGCATCCGTCACTCCAGCTGGTTTTCCTGGCAGCCTAGGAATACGGGAACCTCAGGCAGCGTCCCTTGCAGGCGTTCCCTGTGACTCATTTTCCGAGCCGGAGACGGCAAATTGCTTGACTGTAGTGGTTTTTTTTTTCTTTTTTCAGGAACACAGACAGCTGTCAGGGTTCTGGGTTTGTACATTAGAACAAACAAATGCCTGTCTGAGATGCACGACCCTCAGCTTCTCTGTTTGTTTAGTCTGGTGAACACCAGCAGGAGGCAGATCTCGGTCACCGCCTTCCAGTGTTAACGTAATCCTTGTTTTTTACCCCTTTGCGTGACTAAATGGGTGGAAAGACTCACAGGTATGAATGAAAGTGGGCTAGTTGCTAATCTCCCGGGACACACACAAAACCAGATGGGCTTTCATGACCTTCCTACTCCTCAGTATCCTGCCCCCTATCATTTCTGCAGGTAGAACCCTAATAAAAACACAAGTGAGCCTAATATAGAAGCGAGCGTCGGGATAAGTGACCTGAGGTCATCGGGTTGTTTATTAGGCTCGTGATGTAAACTTGGGCACTTCCTCCAGCAACCAGCGAGTGACTGGCTCAGCCTCCCAGCCGGCCGCCTTCCTCCACCCTTCCCATTGCTAGGGGCTCCGGAGCGACCCCCAGCCTCTCTCTCGGGGCGTTCCCGTGCGCCCAGCGAGCAGGGTGGACCCTACCTCGCCTCCTCCCCTCGGGCTCGGGCGGCGCAGGCGCAGCAGACGCGGCCGGGAGGCCGAGGACTAGAGCGGCTCCGGCTCCGGCTCCACCCGCCCAGCCAGCTCCCGGCTGGTCTGCGGCCGCCACCGGGACGCGTCGGGCAGGGCCGGCGGGCGGCGTCGCCATGGGCTCCGGCTGGAGCAGCGAGGAGGAGGAGGAGCGGCAGCCGCTGCTGGGGCCGGGGCTCGGGCCTGCGCCCGGGGCTGCGCGCAGGGGTCGGGAGGCGGCGGCCGTGCTGCCCGCGGCGGGCCCGGGCCCCGGGAGGGTGTACGGGCGCCGCTGGCTGGTGCTGCTGCTCTTCTCGCTGCTCGCGTTCGCCCAGGGCCTGGTCTGGAACACCTGGGGCCCCATCCAGAACTCGGCGCGCCAGGCCTACGGCTTCTCGGGATGGGACATCGCGCTGCTGGTACTGTGGGGGCCCATCGGCTTTCTGCCCTGTTTCGCGTTCATGTGGCTGCTGGACAAGAGAGGTAAGGGGTTCGGGATGCCTGCGGGCGTGTCCCTTCTCCCAGAGCCGGCTTCTGCCAAGATCCGGGCCTGCTTGCGCCTCCCTGGGCTTGGTCTTGGGGTTGTGTGAGGTGACCCAGCGCCGCTGGCATCTCATTCCCAACTCGGGAACCCGCTGTCCCCAAAGCGACAAATAAGAAGGATGCTTTCCAAGCATTGATTTTTTTTTTTTTTCGTTACGCCCTTTTTGCCACGCCAGATTTAGGTAATCATCAGATGTGGAAGGCTTTGCATGTTGTGGACATCAGAGCGTCTCACTGGGAATGTTTTTGACACCTGACAAAAGTGACTCATGCTTTGCTTTCAAATGGGGTTTAGGGTGCTGAGGGTGAAAGATCAGAAAAAGAGACTGGTGATGCCCAGATATAAGGAAGTGATGAGCTGGCGTGGTGACTCCAGCCCTGGAAACACTATTGGGAAACTCAGGTGTGACGCTGGGATTCCTGGAAGGTAGATCCCCAGGTTCAAATGAGCCCGCGGGTGACTTTTCAGTTTCGATTTATTACTCTCAGATAAAGATCCCAGACTCAAGGCTCTCTTTCAGCGGGTGCCTTCAGGCGTTTCACTTTGCCAGTTGCCAGTGTGATTCTGTGAGGTGGGGAGAAGGCCAGAGTGGGAAGAGTCAAGATGTTGAATTATCCCTCCGTCCTGAGTGTGAGTAAACCCCCAGGAGGCTGTTGTGCAAGATTTAGACTTCTTAGGGATGTCGTTGGATAATGGGTGGAAACTGCCTTGTGTAGTGTCCTCTCAACCTTTTGTGAGTCGTGATTCGATGTATTCTTCGGTCAGTTTTGGAACATCGGCTTAGTAGTCTGCAGGTATATGGACAAAAGGCCATGAGCTTATGAGACAAAAGAAATTTATTTATAACCTTTCCGGAAGCTTCGGAAGTCCAAGAAGGAGTAAGCAGAGTGCCTGGCTGGTGAGCATCATCCGTGCAGTGCATTTCCTTGGTAATCTCTCATGGAAAACGGCCAGGACTCGCTCTCTCTGGGGTCCCTTTCATAAGGGCATTACCCCAATTTGTACAGACCCTGCCCTCACCACTGTTTCATTCCCGAAGCCCCCAACCTCTAAGTCCAGTCACTTAGCTGGGAGTAGGAATCTGAGCGGACACATACACTTGCCCAGCAAAGCAGGAGTGGAGCATAGGTTGGTCTGGACTTGTGGTTGTCTGGTGTAACATAAGCGCTCAAACTGTTCCTTACTGAAAGAACAAAACCCAGCTGTGCTCCCTCTCTCATCCTGATGGTACAGGAATCCACACAGAAGAGACAAAAAACAAACACAACAAAAAACTGAAAACCTTCCTGATTAACATGTGGCACAGTTCTAAGCACAGAAGTGACGTGTCCAAAGGGAGACGAAATGTGCTTTGATTTGTTCTACTCTAGTACTAGTACTGTTTTTTGTTTGTTTGTTTTCTGAGACAGGGTTTCTCTGTGTAGCCCTGGCTGTCCTGGAACTCATTCAGTAGACCAGGCTGGCCTCAAACTCCCAAAGATCACCTGCCTTTGCCTCCTGAGTGCTGAGATCAAAGGCAGTACCACCACTGCCCAGCGAGCATTGACTTTTTTTTAAAAGATGCTCATTTGGCAAGCTGGAATGACTGTAAGAGCTGTGTGAATGATAGTAAGTGTAAGAGTCACGAAAGTTAAGACGAAGCTTCAAAAGCGGGGCGCAGCGTCACACACTTGTAACCCCAGCCTTCTGGGAGGCAGAGGCAGGTGGATCTCTGTGAGTTCCAGCCTGGTCTACAGAGGGAGTCCAGCACAGCCAAGGTTACACAGAGAGAAGCGCTGTCTTAAAACAAACAGACAAACAGACATGAAGCTTCAGAAATAACCTGAGGCATTGTGTAGACTATGTGAAGATCAGGTAAAAGGGCGTAGACTTAATTAAAAGGGTGTAGAGGTCAAGGAAGAACTACCTTGCTACTGTGCATTGAGAGGTGTGCAGTGGGGGAAGGGACCGGCGTAGCACTTCTACACCAGCAGGCAGGTGGGCAGAGGGTTCCAGAAAGCCCTTGAAGTAGAATAAGGTAGAAAAGACCAATTATTAGATACTGATTTAGTCAGTGATTTACTGTTTGCCAGGCATGACTTCACTAGCTACCTGAAGCAGAATGCCCTGGAGGAATAGTTGAGACAGCAGGTCATTCCCCATAACAACCTGCTGACTGCCTTTGAAGGCTTCTGTGAAAATCTAGCTTGCTGGCCTGCCCCACCTCGTGGGTTTTGAGTATAACATGAGAATACAAACTGGACCTGGGTTGGAGGCATTTCAGGGGCTGTCCTGGCTTCTGTCTACCATAGACAGCTCCCTCTCCTCCATCCTCATTGGTGTCAGAGTACTTACTACAGAAACATTCATGCAGCGCTCTGAGTGGGGGGATTTTCTTTGTCTAGGGGCTTTCTGTTTGCCTTTAAACTGAATTAGAGATTTTACTTGGACTTATCAGTGTCTTCACTGTTGTTATTTATTTATTTGTTTTCTATCTTAAGATTCATCCTAGTTTCTTCCAGTCTGGAAATTCCTTAGTGGTTCCTGTAAAAGCTGGCCACGTTAATAGTCATCAAAAAGCCACAGTTATGGAGCCGAGAAGACAGATGGTCAGTGGGTAGGAATGCTTGCTTGTAGATGCGAGTGGCCCTGAGTTCAAATCCCCAAGCACCCATATAGAGTTGAGCATGGCTCTCAAGACAGAAGATTCTCTCAAGCTCCAGTGAGCTTCAGAGTCTTAAAAAATAAGGTAGAAAGCGATAGAGGAAGACACCCAGCCACTGTTCTGGCCACTACATGCCTCTGTACACACACACACACACACACACACACACACACACACACACAATGGGCTTAAAAAAAAAAAGAATAGTGAGGCTTTATCATAGCCTTACTAATTTTTTCTTTGTGACTGCTGAGTTAGAGACTCTCCATTGTACACAACAGGAGGAGCACGCCCCCTGGGGATGCTGGTTTTCTGGGTATAAACAAGAGCACAGAGTAGAGAAAACCTGCTGGCTAATACTGGATTGCTCCCAGCCTCATTTCTGTAAATGCTAAAGCAGAGACTGCCTTACCATACTGACTTATTAGAAATCTCCTCTTCAGGAAAGACTGTTCTGCCTTGTGATTTATCCACTTCCTTAAAGTTTTAATTTCACTTTAGCATGAATGACACTTTGGCTGGTTAGTTCTTATGTCACCTTGATACAAGCTCAGGTCATCTGGAAAGAAAGATCCTTCTAGAGAAAATGCCTTCATAGGCTTGGCCTGTGCACAAACCTGCAGTGCATTTTCTTTCTTTAAAAAAAAATATTATTTGTGTGTATGTATGAGAGAGAGTGTGAGTGTATGTGTGCATGCACACCCGTGTACCTAAGGTGCTCAAAGTCATGCTCTGGCCCTGGAGTTACAGGTAGTTGTGAACTGCCTGATATAGGTACAAGGAATCAAATTTGGATCCTCTGCAAGAACAGTGTTCGTAACTGCTAGGCCATCTTGCCAGCCCGTGTGGTACGTTTTCTTGAATGATGATTGGTGTGGGAGGGCCCAGCTGACTGTGGACCAGTGCCTGGCAGTCTGAGCGACCATTAGCAAGCAGTCCAAGCAAGCCAGTAAGCAGGTTGCCTTCAGGTCTCTGCTTTAGTTCCCAGCTCCAGGTTCCTGTCTGAGTTCCCACTCTGAATTCCCTCTGCGATAGTGTGTGACCTTACAGCTGTAAGATGAAATGAACTAAACACTTTTCTCTCCAAGTTGCTTTTGGTCGTGGTGTTTTAACTAAGGCAAACTATTTTGGTTTGGTCTGGCCTGTTAGGTTCTAATGTAGGAACTCAGTCCAAAACAGTAAAAAAAAAAATTTTTTTTTTGGTTGTTTTTCAAGACAGGGTTTCTTTGTGTAGCCCTGGCTATTCTGGACTCGCTTTATAGACCAGCTGGCCTCGAACTCACAGCAGCCTACCTGCCTCTGCCTCCTGAGTGCTGAGATTAAAGGAATAATCTTTTGCTCAACAGAACAAAATGCTGTTTTGTGATGTCTTTTTCCAGTAGTATTTTAATGTTATTTTCTAAGTTTAGCCATTCTTGCTTTTGTGCTACAGAATGTTAGTTTGTTTTTTTTTTTTTTTTCTCTATATATCATGAGTGCATCCATCAACCATGGCTGTCTACATTAGACATTATTATTCCCTTCAGAAAATAAGTTGCTTTGGGGAGTATTTCATAGTTCCTGTAACTGTATGGTAAATTTAATTTTGTATTTTCCATTAGTTGAAGCAATAATAAAAACAAAAACAAACAAAAAACAAAACGAATTTCAGATCTCTCCCCTGGGCTGAGGAGTGAGTATTAGAGTTTGGATCCCCAGCATGCACCCTGTTGGCACATGTAACCGTCCGCAAAGTTCTCTCTTTTAGGAACAGTTCTCCTTTCTGGGGGAGCAGTTAAGACACTTTCATAATGTTGGTGACCCAACTGCACCCACACAACAGCAGGTTCGCTTTCTGTGGCCTGCTCACTGGGAGGCATGCAGCTCTCGTTCGCTTAGCATACAAGGCCTGTTATATCCTAAAGCAGGTGTTGTACCTTTCCACCCCATTTCCATTCACCAGCAAGGAAACAGAAGAACGTGTCAGGGAGATAATAGTGTGAAACGGGTGCACCCTGGAAAGCAAGCCAAAGAGCTGTTAAAGAGATAGCAACATGCTAAGCTGGGACCAGGGGCTCCTAGAGTCTGCTTCTAGTGAGAAGATTGAGCAAAGAGGACAAGCGATGCTTTGGAAAAAAGTAAAGAACAGTAAAGGAGGAAGATCTTGTGATCCACTGTATTCTGGTTTGTGGAAACTGTCCCACACGCCTCATGAGAAGGTGTGTTTGAGTAGACACCTGAAGGAAGAGGGAAGCTTGGCATGTCAATGCTGGACAAGAATGTCTGGAGAAAGAGGATGGCAATGACAGAGATCCT